CCCCCCCCCCCCCCCCCCCCCCGCCCTCCCTTGTGGAAACACTGGCCCGTCCTTTCGAGGGTGTGGTCAAGGCAAGACATTATTATTGCATTATTGCACCATCTCCCAGGGAGCTAACTCGTCATCCTGCCCCATGCGTGATGGATGCTGTTCTGCAGTAGCCCAACATTTTTTTTTTGTGGCTGTAGAGTAGCTTTCGTTGCCGTGAGCGATCCTTTCCACACAAACCCCCTCTCCTGTACGAAGCTAGTTTGCCCTCGGAAAACGTGTTCCCGGGAGTTTTTTCTTGTTCAAGGAATGTTCAAGAAACACTCGGTTACGGCCACAAATCGTTCTGAGGGGGGGGGGGGGGCTGGCTGTTGCAGGCAGACAATGGTGCACCTCCTAGCCACCCAAGCAAAGGCCCACCCGACTCATTACTGCTGCTCGGATGATGTTGGGGGCCGTTCCGTGGTTGCGTCTGCTGGGAGTTTGATGCAGTGGTGGATAGATACGACGGCCGCGGACCCTGCTCGTTTGGGTTAGTCTGTTGGTAGCGAACGATAAGGGTGTGTTTTGTAAGACTACATACAGATTGGGGTTCGTTGGGCTCCTGGTAAGCGTTGCACCACAGCCAGCTGTGGGTTGGTCATGCTGTCTGATTTCATGCATCTTGCATCACCCCTTGAGGACTCTGTGGTCTCGTGGGCCCGCCCCGGAGGGATCACTTGTACCATTAAGCTCAAATAGTGCAGAAATGTGGACCTGGGCTACGTTCGTAACTCATAACCAGAAGTCAAATTCGAGCTCCTGATTGGTCGAGAACAGCAAGAGCCTTTGTTGAGTTTCCAGTAGAGCTCGATTTTTCGAAAATATCCATCCAATCAAATAAATACTAACCATTCGAGATAATACCACAGTCGAAGGGGGGGTGTTGAAGTCTCCACAGTGAACGAGAAAAAATCAATTTTGCTTTGTCTCCCAGAAGGACATGAAACTCCAAAATCAAGAAATGATTACCTTCCCGCCCAACAGAGCCATTTTCGTTTTTTGAGTATTGCCGTTTTCAATTTATTGACACTCTTTATGTAGGGGACTTAACGCGCGCTATTCTTGAGCGGATGTGGGCGCGGATGTGCTTGTTTTTTTGCGTTACAGGTGTACGGAGCCCTGCCGAGCGAGATGCAGAGCCGCATCTTCGAGCCACCTCCGGCGGGAACACGAAAGGTATGCGTACAGCGGCAACATACGGGCTTCTAAAGGCTGCGGACGGGTGACGGTCTGTCGGACCCGATTTCAGCCCTCTACGGGCAGCTGTTCTCACCCACTCCCTGTCTGTCTGTGGTGCTCGTTTTGCCTGATTCTTCATTGTTTTTTTTCCACGAGCTGATATAGGAACTTCGAGCGACGGGTACAAACATGCCTGTTTTTGTTGCCTGCGTGATTGTTTCGCCTGTCGTCCTTCTTTGTGCGCTGGACCGACAAGAAAAATGCGCCCCGACCGAGGGGAAATTTCGTGGAAATTTCGCCGCACAACGATACAGCTGACTTTCATGGGAAACTCGGGACGACGGTTTGAACAATTTTCGAGCGACGGTTTCAAAAAACACACCCGGTTGTTTTGTTTTGTTTTGTTTTGTTTTGTTCTGTTCTGTTCCCGCCCATCATCGTTTTTGTTGGTGTCGGCGAAGGTGGTGGTGGCAACGAACATTGCCGAGGCCTCCCTGACGATCGACGGCATCTACTACGTCATCGACCCCGGGTTTTGCAAGCAGAAGGCGTACAACCCCAAGATGGGTATGGACTCGCTGGTCGTTAGTCCCATCTCGCAGGTGCGTGGGTGGCGGGTTCAGCTCCTGATGTACACACTGCCCAAAAACTGAACTGCACGTCTCCGTCCCACCGTTCGACTACAGTAGCATCACCCCCTCCCTGTCCCACTCTTTACCAAAACGGAAGATTGCCGACTACAGCATATTGCTGCTGTCTGAAGTGCTGTCTGTACAAGAACACCATGGTAGGCATGGAACAAGCAGCTGGCGGGGCACAAAGCTGCTGTCTGAAGTGCTGTCAGAATGTGTGCGGCCGTACAGTGGTAAAAGAACAACCAACCAAAGCCATCATAGCAGCAATTGACGATCACCCGAATCTCTCCCGATCGTCTGTGTTAGGCNGCTGTCCTTCCCAGTCGGTTCGTAAATGAGGTAGATAGCACACACGTGCACGCTGACGCATCTTCACGCGAAGACGCTTCGGATGATGCACCCAATTCATATGGGTGTCTTGTCTCCCCCACGACACNTAGGCACTGCAGTGATCAATATCGACACTAGGTAAGAATCGTTCCACATTGAAGGCGTCTTCCACGATCAGGCACACAACCAAGGCACCCGGGTTAGCCACGCCATCTCTGACGGGTCTCTCTACAAAACCAGTGACGACGTCATCACATANGCAAAACGCCACTCGACCTGCTCCGTCCGTGCACGCTCTCGTTGCTGTCCTTCCCAGTCGGTTCGTAAATGAGGTAGATAGCACACACGTGCACGCTGACGCATCTTCACGCGAAGACGCTTCGGATGATGCACCCAATTCATATGGGTGTCTTGTCTCCCCCACGACACTTCTAGTAGGACGCGTGCACACGTTCACGCTGACGCATCTTCACGTGAGGAGATTCGGATGATGCACCCAATTCATATGGGTGTCTTGTCTCCCCCACGACACTTCGAGTAGGACGCGTGCACACGTGCACGCTGACGCATCTTCACGTGAGGAGATTCGGATGATGCACCCGATGCATAGGTATCTATTTTTTTCCCCACGGATAATGCACTCGTACTTACGTGTCTTCACCTGAAGCTTCTGTTCCACCCATACGCGTGGGTATCTATCCATCTCCTCGTGCTACGGCTTCTGGGTCCTAGCGAGGGCGCCTGCTCTATGGATTTGTTTTGCTCTTGGGGGGCGTCTTTCCCCCGTGAAATCTCCCGAAGACACTTCTATTTCGCGCGTTCCGTGGGTGTTTGTCTACGTCCACATTCAGCTTACCTGGGTCTACACTAGCGAGGACGCCTGTTCAACCACAGTCGTAGGCCATCTGTAAGGCGGGTATGCGCCAGACCGATTCACCCGTCCTGTACAGGGTACCCACCTCAATGTGTAAAACTTGTTATTTCCGTCTCTGCCAGCCAATTTTACCCGCCATATATAACCGGCCTTATCGAGGACCAAAGACTGCAATCTCTTGCTCTCGGGGGGCGTTTATCGCCCTGTATCTCGCACCTTTTCGAGAAGCTTTTGTTAGCTTGCGTGGATGCAGCTGGACTGTGTCTGTAGCGAGGACACCTGTTCACCAAAAGCTGTTGGGGACATGCTTTCCCCCCTCTGCTAATTTTTCCGTTTTTTTCTCTCTCTCGCTTGTTGACGTGACTATTATATACCAGGCGAGCGCGAGGCAGAGGGCGGGAAGGGCAGGACGTACCGGTCCCGGTAAGTGCTACCGCCTCTACACCGAGTCGGCGTACAAGCAGGAGATGCTTTCCAGCTCGGTGCCCGAGATACAGAGGACCAACCTCGGCAACGTGGTACTGCAGCTCAAGGTACCTGTTGTTGTTGTTGTTGTCGTTGTTGTTGTTGTTGTTGTTGTTGTTGTTGTTGTTACAGCGGTACAACGAATATGGGTGTGGAACGTTTTTTGTTGTGTTGGCAGTAGCACTGACCGGATTTTGGGATTTTGGTGTAGTTCTTGTCGAGAGGATGAACCCAGGTAACGTGGTGCTACGGCTCCAGCTCGAGGTACACACATGGGGTTATAGCGCCTGCTGTTGTATTGGCAGTCCTTGCGTTTCACGTAAATGTCTCTCCCCCTCTCCCCTTGTCTCGTCCCCAGGCGATGGGAATCAACGATCTCCTGGGCTTCGACTTCATGGACCCTCCCCCACTACAAACGATGGTGTCGGCCATGGAGAACCTGTACGCCCTGGGGGCCCTTGACGAGGAAGGGGTGAGGAGAACGGAAGAGAAGAAAGAAAATTGAGGGAAGAAGAGAAGAAAATCGAAGGGGGGCAATTGAAGGGGAGAAGAAAAAGAAGAATGTGGAAGGTAGAACAACAATAATAAGTTCGAGTGGAAACAAAAAGTAGAAGAAAATTGAAGGGGGGAAAAGAAAAGCCAAATCTGAAGGGGAAAAAGAGAAGCCGAAATTCGATAGGTAAAAGAAAAGAAGAAACTGAAGGGGAGAAGAAGAGAAGAAAATTGAAGGGGGGAAAGAAAAGCCGAGATTTGAAGCGGATGAGGAAAAGCCGAAATTTGATGGGGAGCAAAAAAAATGAAAATTGAAAGGAAAACAACAATTATAAGATAGAGTGGGAAAAAAACGGAAGAAGATCGAACGGAAGCAGAAGGAACCAATATTCACGAAGAAATATTCTGCACTTGCAAAAGATTGACGACGAAGACGTCGAGTGTTCCTTTTCCAGCCTGGACAACGAAACCGCCGCCCTCACACCGTCCGCGACCCTGCGGATTAACCCTCCTGCATCCCCCAAGGATGCGAGAGAACGCACGGAGGTGTTGGCGTGTTTCAAAGCTTGATTGCTCCACGACCAGGAGGATGCGAACACCAACCGGCACCATTCTGGAAAGGCCTGGGCGTGGTGTTTCCAAAATCATCCCTGTCGGCAGGGGCGGCACCCTCCTGGTTGCGGAGAAATCAAGCTGTGACAAACGCTGACAACCCCGTGCGTTCTCTCGCATCCTTACGGTATTTCTATGTAGAGTGCGCAGGCTCGCGGCGTTGCGTTAACGTCACCACGGCGTGTCCCGCCCTGTTTTAGTTTTTGTTGACGATGTCCGCGCCACATCATCGACTGCTGTGCATGAATTCGCGGCGTTGGCAGCTGCTGACGAGATTGGGGCGCAAGATGGCCGAGTTCCCTCTGGAGCCGCAGCTGTCCAAGATGCTCATCACAAGGTATTTGCTACTGCTGCTGCTGCTGCTGCTGCTGTTGGGGGTTTTGCGCTGCTGCTGTTGTTGGGGGTTTTGCGCTGCTGTTGTTGTTGTTGTTGTTGTTGTTGTTGTTGTTGTTGTTGTTGTTGTTGTTGTTGTTGTTGTTCTTGCTTGTCATCGGCTGCGTTGAGCTTGGCTGGGCCTCCTCTCTTTCCTCCACCCTTGCCAGGATTCCGCCAGCAACCCCCAATCAGCCGATATCTATCATGTATAGTCTGCACCTTTTTTTTTTCTTACGACTTTTTTTGTTGCAGTGTCGAGCTTGGGTGTGCTGAGGAGATCCTGACGATCGTGGCCATGCTTTCGGTGGAGAACCCCTTCTACAGGCCCAAGGAAAAGCAGGCGCAGGCCGATATGAAGAAGGCCAAGTTCTTCCAGCCAGAGGTGTGTCCTCATCATCAATATTGGACAAAACCCGATTTCCGCTCTATTTTGCCGGTGGAGCACATGCAACAGAGTACACTCTTATCTTGATTCCGATTTCTCTTCAATGGTCTCTCTTACCAATCCGTAGCCGCTACCCGCTGCACCAGTGTTTTTTATTTTTTATTCCGTATCCACGTTTGTTGTCGTTTCCGCCCCGTCGCTCCTCTTCTTCTTCTTCCAGGGCGATCACTTAACCCTACTTGCGGTGTACGAGGCGTGGAAGACGAGCAAGTTCAGCAACCCGTGGTGCTACGAGAACTTCGTGCAGGCCCGCTCGATGCGGCGCTCGCAGGACGTGCGGAAGCAGCTCGTATCCATCATGGACCGTTACAAGGTAGTTCGTTTTTTTGTTGTTGTCGCTGTTGTTGTTGCATTCGTGTGTCCTTGCTGCTGTTGTTGTTGTTGTTGTTGTTCATTGGTCAACTGCCTACCGGGGACGATGCTTACCGACGACTCGCATGCACACACGCGTACAGGCAGCATATTTTACCCCCCCGCTACAAGACTGGCGTACTTTCTTCATTCGTCAGCCGGTTACAGTTAAAAAGAAAACAGAACGCATCGATGCTTGTGTGGTGGCGTTATTTTGTCCCGCTACTACAGGACTGAAGTCATTTTGCGTTGGTCAGCCGGTTACATCACAACCTCCCCCCGGTGTTTGCCATCGGGGTTGGGTTTTCGTCGCTTGGCAACGACGTTGTAAAACAAGC